AAGAGATATTATTTTTTCCTATGGCTAGCAGTGCATAACAGCTGTTAAACTGCTAATAGACTTTCCAGCAGGAGACAATTCAACATATTTTGATAAATTGTGTCTTCTCTAGATAAGTTGAGGGAGAAACAGGCGGAAAAATCCCTCTCTCGTTTCCATATCTACATTTTTTCATCGGAAACGAGATCAGGTCGGAAAAGCTGGGATGGGAAACGTGCGGACATACAGAAATGGAGAAATACAGAGGGAGAGCCGAAAAATTAAGTTAGCATCACGTGATCTAATATTCTCAAGTATGTATGTATAAAGTCACACAATAATATACACGTATGAAGATCAATCTAATATTCACTTGCATGCCATGTGTCAATATCCATCCCAATGGATTATACTCAAGAGAAAAAAAATCTTGTCTTGGTCTTTGTGATATCCATCCCAATGGATTATCTAGTTTCTTAAACTTTAGCCTTTGTGCAGGAATCAGTTTCTTGTATTTTTCTTCTCTCCTCCTTGACGCTATTGCCAAATCGGCAAATTGTTCTATATGGCACCATATTAAAGGGCATGCTTCCTACAATCCAGTCCCCTGAATTTTGGGTGACGTTCAAGCGACTGGAAACAGGCATCCATAGAAAGGGAGGGGCCCGATTGCCCGAGGGTGGCCGTTGACAGGCGGTGGTGGCGGGTTGGCCGGCGGCAAGCGAGGCGGCAGGGTAGGACAACCGAACGGCAAGTGGCAGCGGCGGGGGCAAGGGGTCAACGACAAGGTCGTGGGATTGGGATTAGGGGAGGGAGGGGTTGGCGCTGCGGCGGTGGTTGGTGAGCGGCACGATCGGCGGTGGTTGGTGGGCGGCGTGGCCGGTGGCTGGGGAGCTGCTGGCCGGGGCGGCAGTGGAGGCCGGTGGCGGGTCGGGCTGGTGCAGTGGAGAGAGGAGGAAGATGAACAGTGCACCATAATCTTTAGCCGTTAGATCATCATCCAATAGCTCATGTTCGTCGCCTGAGAAAAAGGAAAAAGAAAAACATGCGCCTGAAGAATAGCTAATCCCATGGTATCGAAAATATCCTAGTCATAGTAACGTGACTACAGACTACCTAAGGTATGGCCGTATGGGTGATTCTGATGAAAGGTAACTGATGTTTCTTTTCGAGGCCTTGTTTAGATTGAAAAAAATTTCAACATAATGAATAGTAGCACTTTCGTCTTATTTGGTAAATATTGTCCAATCGTGGACCAACTAAGCTCAAAAGATTCATCTCGTGATTTCCAACTAAACTGTGTAATTAATTATTTTTTTTACCTACATTTAATGCTCCATGCAAACAGCTAAAAATTGATGTGACGGAGAAAAAGTGAAAAAACTTGGAATTTTGGCCGGAGTCTAGTAGAGCAGCGACAAATGTCCACGCTGAAAAGCAATACGGGTCAAATCCATGGGTCACAGGTCTACTCTTCCAATTATTGCATCAGACTAAACTGCTCATCGAAGTCTGAGGTGTCGGTAGCCGGAACAGGCACTGCTGATGGGTCCATGAAAAGAAACTCCACAAAGATGTGGACATGTGGACTTGACAAAATCACTGTGTGGAAAGAAGTTTAATGGAGAAGGGACCTATAAACTACTCAACTGTGCTAAAAATATCCAGACATGGCCAAAGAATAAATTTGAACACTATTTCTATTAGAATATGGAATATATCTATAAATCTAATAAATTGTAAGATAATATAAGTACTTTACAAGACAAATTTTAAAACATCATTCTTATGTTTCCAAACTAAATATTTTAAAAGTTATTGAAAACCAAACTTTCAAAAGTTTGACCGGACAAATCTGGAGTATATATATTATAACGCGGAGGTCCTTTAGTACACCTCTATTCTCAAGTCCTTCCCTACAGGAGTACCGGAGGACTGTACTTGTTATACTATTATTATATCACTAATTATGCCATGAGTTTCTTTGTGTTGACAGTTTCCACATTTTGACTACATGAGGAGAAAACCAACAACCCAGATTCAAACATGCTTGTCTGACCCAAGCAGTGGCCAAGTGATAGGATAACCAAGCGTTTCTTCTTGTAATGCTCTAGTGCAACAACAGAACTTAATGTGCTATAGTTTGTCGTAGTGAATCCTCCATATTTGCCGGCCTGCAGACTGCTACAAGTTCACACCTATGTCCTTATAGTGCTCTTCCCAGGATTACATAGAGTGTAGAGAGCTAAGAAGCATTTCTGCACTCATAGTACTTGTAAAGCAAAGGTGAGAAGATGGCAAGCAGCAACATGGTTCCTTCTCTACTCCATTCTAGCTTCTTCCTCGCATGCCTCCTTGCTCTTGCGACATCAAGGCACCCTGCTGAGCTGTTTCCAGTGAAGGCGCCACGATTCGGCTACATGCTGAGGCCCATGACGATTGCCTTGCTCTCCTGTGCTTCAAGTCCCAGCTCTCTGACCTCACCGAAGCTTTGGCATCTTGGAGTAGCAACACCTCCACCGACATCTGCAACTGGTATGGTGTTACCTGCAATAACACGAGACAACCATATCGTGTCACTGAGCTGGACCTGGAGAGCTTGAAGCTCACAGGTATCATTTCTCCTTGCATTGCAAACCTGACTTTTCTTGAGAGGATACACCTTCCAGACAACCATCTGACTGGACAAATTCCACCTGAGCTGGGTGATTTACAAATGCTTCGTTACCTCAATGTCAGCTCCAATTCACTCAATGGAGACATACCCAGTCCATTAGGCAGTAGTCCTTCCATTGTGTACATTGATCTATCCAGCAATGGTCTCACAGGTCAGCTTCCTGAATCATTGGCTACAAGTTCATCACTTCAAGTGCTTAAACTTGGGAAAAACAACTTTGATGGGGAAATCCCACCTGTTCTTTTCAAGTCCTCGTCACTAGTCCGTATAGATCTTCAACAAAACAATTTTACTGGACCCATACCAACAGTTCCAAAGATTATGTTGACTCTGCAGTATCTCAATTTCATGTCAAACAGACTCTCAGGGACTGTACCACCCTCTCTAGCAAACATTTCTTCCCTACTATACCTATACCTTGACTTTCTAATTGCACAAGCCTACAAGTTCTAGATCTTGCTAACAACTCGTTCTCCGGAGCAATACCACCTTTAGGATCTTTGCAGAATTTGACGTACTTGGATTTCAGCCTTAACCACCTTGAAGATCCGGATTGGTCCTTCTTATCCTCCTTGAGTATTTGCACCCAGTTGACAAGTTTAGGCCTTATGGCAAATAACATCAGTGGGAAGTTGCCAAGCTCAATAGGTAGCCTGCCTTGCCAACTTGACACCCTCTGGCTAAGCTTGAACCGGATATCTGGAACCATACCACAAGAGATAGGGTACCTAAAAGGACTCACAGTTCTTATGATGCACGATAACCAGTTTGTTGGAAGCATACCTTCAGTTATTGGAACAATGAGTAATTTGTAAGTCTAAGTTTATCAGGAAACAGACTCTCTGGTCCCATTCCAGATTCACTAGGAAATCTTGAACAGCTGACCGAGCTGTATATGAGAGAGAACGATCTGAATGGAAGCATACCTAAAAGTTTAGGAAATTGCAAGAATTTACAGCTGCTAAACTTTTCCCACAACTCACTGGATGGAAGTATACCAACCGAGCTATTAAAAATTGATTCACTTTCTGAAGGTCTGGATTTGTCACACAACAAACTTAGTGGGGTCATACCACAAGAAATTGGTGTGCTAATCAATCTTGGTGTTCTTAATATCTCCAATAACCGCCTCTCTGGCCAAATTCCTTCCGCACTTGGTCAGTGTATTGTGTTGAAGTCCCTTCGTCTGGAGGACAATCTTCTTGAAGGAAGCATTCCACAATCTTTCATGAACTTGAAAGGCATTAGAGAGATAGATCTTTCTCGAAACAACCTTTCTGGAGAATACCACAGATACTGACATCACTCAATGCTTTACAATACTTAAACTTATCCTTCAATGATTTCAGTGGAGGAGTACCATCTACCGGTGTCTTTGCAAATGCCAGTAAAGTGTCTGTCCAAGGAAACAAGAGGTTATGTGCTGGGGCACCTATGCTAGGTCTGCCTCTTTGCTCTGATAATTCCAAAAGAACTTCCAAATCCTTACTACTGAAGATACTGATCCCACTATGTGCTGTCTCTGCAATATTGCTGTCTTGTTTCTTCGTTGTCCTTTTAAAGCGAAGAAGAGCACAACCATCTGCACAGGATTTCAGAGAACAAGAAAAGGTATCATATCAATACATTGTTAAAGCCACAAACTGGTTCTCCTCTGCCAACTTGGTTGGCTCAGGATAATTTGGGACAGTGTATAAGGGCACAATGGCATTTGATACAAACCCAATTGCAATCAAGGTGTTCAACCTCAATTTCCATGGAGCATCAAGAAGTTTTTCAGCAGAGTGTGAAGCTCTGAGAAGCATACGTCATCGAAATCTTGTCAAAATCATTACTTCATGCTCCACTATAGATCCTTCTGGGGCAGAGTTCAAAGCCCTCATATTTCAATATATGCCCAATGGGAGCCTAGACATGTGGCTACATCCAAAGGCTTACGGATACAATAATATCAAAGTTTTAACTTTGGCTCAAAGAATAAGCATTGCCCAGCATGTAGCATTTGCTCTTGATTATCTTCATAATCAATGTGTGTGATTATCTTCATAATCAATGTGTGTGTCCATTGGTGCACTGTGACTTGAAGCCACAGAATGTTCTATTGGACCATGACATGATTGCTCATGTCAGTGACTTTGGGCTCGCAAGATTTTTGTGCAATGATCCCTCTTGTGCAACTAATAGTTCTACCAGCTTGTCCGGACTTAAAGGATCAATTGGATATATTGCACCAGGTGATGCAAGTTGTTATGGTTTTATTCATCTTTGAAGATAGTACTGAACTAGTGAACTCTTACTATGGAAATGAAAATTACTCATGTTCAAATGTTAAATTAATCTGCAGAGTATGGCATGGGTAGTGAGATCTCTACTGAGGGAGACGTTTACAGCTTTGGAGTGCTTCTCTTGGAAATGTTCATGGGGAAGGAACCTATTGATGAGGCATTCAGGAATGGCACGAACCTTCATAACTTTGTGAACTCAGCATTTCCAGATAGGATTGAGGAGATCTTGGATCCTAACATAATGCACGAGATAGCTGAAAATAAAAATCAAGCAGTCCTAATCATGAATAGCTGCATCATTCCTCTGATGAAGCTAGGCCTTTCATGCTCCATGGAATTTCCAAAAGATCGACTAGGAATGGGGCATGTGACAGATGAAATCTATGCAATCAATAATTCCATTTCAAACATAAATGTTTTGGGGTGAAAAGTGAGCTTCCAGTTTAGAGATTACCATTTCATTAGTACAATTAAGTACAATCCTTCTTTTCTGTGTATGATGGATGTAATTGTGAGTTGATTAGGACCGACCTGAAGGGAAAACAAATTGTTCCTTTGATTGTTCCCAGTCTGTCCCAACCAAATAGATCTCGCTTTCAAGAAAGAAACCAAGTAGATCTGGATTATTTAACAAAACCCATCACATTTGATAGTGGTAGACTGGTACTACTTGAAATCAAATCCACTGTGCCAAAATGGGAAACTTTAAAGTGCTGAGGTGAATATACTTGGCCTATTAATCCAACAGCAAACAACAAAGTAAACAGTACATGATTACTTACTAGTGGTCAATTGCAATGCAATGACATGGACAGCTTGATACTGAAATTGTTGGATCTACCATACCGGATTGCAGACTTCATAGCCAGGAAGGTGTCAACTTCCAGCAATCATTGATACATTCTGGATGATTTTGCTGCTAAACTTATCCCGCAGAGCTCCTGCCACTTCAAAAAAAGATACACAACTTATCCCTGCAATAATGATGCTATATTACAATTGGAGCTGCAGGAACAGTATGTTGATGAAATTAGATTCCTGGAGGTAGAATATTGCAATTCGAGCAATAGAAACAACTAAAAAAGTTACATGCTGTTGGTGTGCCATCATGACCCATAATTAGAATTAATTTCTGAGCAGGGATCCCTCCTTTTTAAGGCCACCATGGTGGGCGATAGACGCTAAGACATCCACCATCTCATGCGACAACATAACCTTAATAATCCCTGCTGAGAAATTAATTCTAATTATGGGTCATGATGGCACACTAACAGCATGTAACTTTTCTAACGCATATGTGCTAGCTGAATGGTCGCCTAGCTGAATCACACATCACTGACCATTAGATGAAGTAGAAACTTGCTAGCTGAATGATCGCCTAGGTGACCTCCACATTTTATGTGTTCAATAGGATTGGTAAGTGATAATATCTAACGCATATGTTCAGGAACGATAAGATCATTCATACAGTTATGTGGAATCCATGTGAGTGTAAAAGCAGATACAGATTGGTCAGCACTTTTGACCCATGCATAAACAGGAAGAGAAGTTAGCCATTATCATCTTGGTTATGCAGATACAGCCCTCGTGTATGCAAATTGAAAAAACAAAGAATTGTAATTAAGATGCAACAGGATATCCGCGTGCTTAGGTAAGCGCATGAAAAGATAACATATAGAGACGTTGTAACTGCAACAGATAGGTTTTCTTCTTCTAACTTGATTGGCTCACTGTTATTTGAAGTATTTATAAGGGTAATCTAGATCTTCTGGAAGATCAAGTTGCCATCAAAATTTATAAACTTAAAATATATGCGGCAGATAGGAACTTTGGTTTAGAATATGAAGCCTAATAAAAAAAATTACTTTATACTAATTTTTTTTTTAAAAAAACTTCCTTTTATACTCTTTGAGGGATTATACAGTGGCAACCTTCAAGGCCCTAGGCCCTTGGTATTCTGATACATGCCAAGTGGTAAAGTGGATTTGTGGCTGCATCCAATGGCCCACTATCGTAGTCAAAGAGGCACTACGGCTTTAAGTCAAAGAATCAATATAGCCTTTGAATGTAGCATCTGCTTTGGATTGTCTTCATAACCAATGTGCAACTCGCACTGTGACTTGAAGCCAAACAATATTCTTTTGGACAAGAGCGTAACTGCATCATGGTCGGCAAGACCTATACTATGAGAAGGCAACGGAACAAGGCAGCATGCTAATTAAAGTAGTGAAGGGCAATAGGCCCAGCTGTTATAGATCAAGGCTCTTGGGCCAAGCCCGTTAGCAATTGTAACCCCCCTTATATATATGAGGGAGGCAATGAGAAGGCAAGCAAGTTTAGGGTTAATCCCTTCTATCTCCTCTCCCTCTCTTCTCTATTTGCCGCCGCCTCTTCTCCTCTCTCTATCTGCCACCGCCGCTCCTCCCTGCTCTCCTGCGCCGCTCCCCTCTGCTGCACAGCTAGCTCCATCCGCTAGCTGCGCCACCCTGGCCAGCCGCTGCCGGCCAGCCTGCCGCCTAGCCAGCCGCCACCGCCGCTAGGCAGCCACACGGCTGCCCTAACCGGCTGTCCAGCCTGCTGATCGGCCCCAGCTGATCCCGTCAGTCGTCGAGGTGATCAAGCGCCTGACAACTGGTATCGGAGCCACGTTGTGAACAACTCCATGGAGGACATTCGCGACGTCACCGATCGTTGGGCAAAGATGTTTGAAATTTTTTTTACCACCAACCAGGAGGAAGAACAGAAGTACGTGCCACCATCCAAATGAGCACTACTCCCAACCCCCTCCATAGAACACATCAAGCTCCCTCCCCCAGAGCCAATCATGCCGGTTCATCCAATTTCTCTGGAGATACCGACCGATCAACAGAACAACAAGGATATGCATAAGGGCAAACACCACCAGATCCGACGACCGCTAAATTCCCACAAATTGTCGTTCCCTGAATATAATGGGACAGAGGAGCCGTCCTAGTGGCTGTACAAATGCAACAAATTTTTTGTCACCCAAAATACCAAAGAGGAAGAACAGATGCACCTAGCGGCATTCCATCTACATGGGGATGCCCTCACTTGGTTCATCATATGGGAGCAGGAAATTGGCCACCCAAGTTGGCCCCAATTTTCTGAAGCAATTGGTAGATGCTTCGGGCCACCACTCCACCACAATCATCTAGGGGACCTCACCAACACCTGTCAGACAGGAGCACTGGACAATTATACAAATCAGTTCCTCCTGACGTTAACCAAGGTAACAGGCCTCTCAATTGCTCAACAAGTAATGCTATCCACTGCAGGATTAGCATCGACATTGGAAATAGACATCCAACTTCAACGACCCCCCGACTTGGAAACAGCAATTGCACTGGCTCGCAAATTTCAGACTTCCAGCACCCTACAGAAGTCCGACCAGCACCAACAGGATGAGCAGGACATCCAAATTTCACTGAGTGCAGTTACGGGAATCACCACGAGCCAGACAATGCAGGTACAACTTTCCATCAACGGCCGCGACTTCCTAGCACTGTTGGACTCCGGCTCTACCCACAATTTCATAGACTCAGACACAACAGTCGACCTCAATCTCCAGCGCGTCTCTGCCCCAAATTCCCTCAAAGTGGCAGTGGCAAATGGAGACCAAATTTCTAATGTGGGTATATATAATGACCTGGCAGTACAAATTGATACAAAATCATTTATAATTGATTGCTACAGCATTAAACTCGGCGGATATGACTTTGTACTCGGTGTCAATTGGTTAAGCTCGCTTGGACCAATTATCTAGGACTTCAATAACCTCACAATGAAATTCTGGCGCAACGGGCACCGCATCATATGGACCAGCTTGAGCAAACCGCCCCTGCAGCAACCGCGTCTACACACGCTTAGCCCCTCAGAAACAATGGACAGCCTCTTGGAGACCTTTTCAGCTCTCTTCCAGGATCCTCAGGGATTACCACCTAAGAGGCGATATGACCACCGGATTCATCTCAAGGATCCAAATAAACCAACAATTGTTCGACCCTATCGCTACCCACAGATCCAGAAAGACAAATTGGAAAAACAATACCACAGTATGCTGACTCAGGGAATCATCAGATACAACACTTCCCCATTCTCATCTCCAGTATTGCTTGTCAAAAAACAGGATGGGTCATGGCGCTTCTGTGTTGACTACCGAGCTCTCAATGACAACACACACAAAGATAAATTCCCCATCCCAGTTATCGATGAACTCCTCGACAAATTGGAAGGAGCCAATTACTTCACCAAACTGGATTTGCGATCGGGATATCATCAGGTACACATGCATCCAGACGACATTGAAAAAATGGCATTCCGAACTCACCACGGTCATTTTGAATTCTTGGTCATACCATTCGGTCTGTGCAATGCTCCCTCTACTTTCCAAGCTCTTATGAATGATATACTTGGCCGATACCTTCGAAACTTTGTTTTGGTGTTCTTCGACGACATATTGATCTACAGCAAAACCTGGGAAGAACATCTGCCGCACATTCAGCAAGTACTAGCTCTCCTACAACTTAATTCAGTCTTCCTCAAAAAATCGAAATGCTCTTTTGGACAAACTACAGTGGGCTATCTGGGACATATTATATCAGATCAAGGGGTTGCAGTGGACCCAGAAAAAATCAAGGCCATCACCTCTTGGCCTCAACATGTGACAGTTAAGCAATTGAAAGGGTTTCTCGGCCTTGCTGGTTACTACCGGAAATTCATAAAAATTTATGGTGCCATAGCCAAGCCTCTCACAGACCAAAAAAGGATAACTTCCGCTAGACAGAACTAGCACTGACATCATTTCAGCAACTGAAGCAAGTCCTATCCACAGCACCAGAACTTCCGCTAGACAGAACTAGCACTGACATCATTTCAGCAACTGAAGCAAGTCCTATCCACAGCACCAGTTTTACAGTTACGGACTTCAACAAACCATTCTTAGTAGAATGTGATGCTTCTTCTACAGGTTTTGGTGCTGTCTTGCATCAGGGAGCAGGCCCAATAGCTTTCTTCAGCCGCATGATTGCTCCACGACATGCCAAACTAGCTGCTTTCGAAAGGGAATTAATTGGTCAGGTAATGGCAGTCAAGCACTGGCGGCCCTATCTCTGGGGGCGCACCTTTCTAATCCAGTCCGACCACTACAGCCTCAAATACATCCTGGACCAGCGCCTTTCAACAATCCCACAACATCAATGGGTCAGTAAACTACTAGGATATGACTTCACAGTTGAATATAAACCAGGCAAACAAAATATAGTGGCCAACGCCTTATCCTGGCGAGATGCTACAAAACCTTCATTGCTGGCTCTCTCAGGAATTACATTCCCAATTTTCGATCACCTCAAGGCTGAGATTGCAAATAATGACGAGGTGAGCAAACTTGTACAGTGTAGAAAAGTATAG